GATCCAGGGACGGGGAATTCTGTGCTGAATGAGACAGACAAGCCTCTGCTTCCACTGAGCCTGCATGTTAGTCCAGGGAGTCAGACACAAATAAATTCAGCATATACTATTACTGTATCATGGTAAGTTCATGAGAACAATAAAATACCAGTGAAGGCTGAGGTGAGAATAGAATGTTCTGCAGAACATGCTGATAAGATTTAGGCCAGGGCAGGAGCTGCTGGGAATGCAGAGATGCTATTATGCCTGTGTGTGTCCCCTTCATAAGTTGAAACCCCAGGGCTCAGTGTGACTGTGTCTGGAGGTAGGACCTTCAAAGAGGCATTAAGATAGATGAGGTCACAGGGGTAGAGCCCTCATCCAGTGGGACTGGAGTCCTTACAACACAGAGACACCAGGATGCATGTGCACACATGGCAGGCCGTGTGGATGCCTCAAGAGGGCAGCCATCTGCAAACCAGGGAAAGTGGCCTCGGGAGACCAAGCCTGCCGATACCCTGACCTGGGACTTCCGGTCTCCAAGGTCATCTATGTGTGCAATGTTACAAAGCCCAGGTTGGCAGCCATGGAAGATGGACGGAAGGAAAGCAGGACAGGAAGAGAGCACAGGGGAGCACACGTGTTCCATGGGAGTTGGCAGCTGGGGTCTAGACAGGAAGCCATGAGGTGTCACCCAGGACCCCAGAGGGCCTCGAGACCAGGGAACTGGTGTGGAGGTACCGCGGGAAGGCCTGGGCCGCGAGGCAGTCATGAGGGGAGGTAAGTCCCTGGGAGGTACCTGTTAAGAGGAGACTGACTCCTTCCAGGTACAAGCATGGACCTGCCAGGGTCCCCAGTGTCACCAAGACTTTAAAACACTAGGATTTCTTCCATGCCCACATTTCCACTCCGACTAGGAAGTGGGGGTGGGGAGGTCATTGTCCTGGAACTTCCTCTCTGGGAGGGTTGGGCTCTTTGGGGCCCATTGTTCCCACACAAAAGGGCAGGGACAAGCCCTTGTTTGCAGCTTCTGGTGCCAGCAGGAGAGGCTGGTCTCCAGTCCTCCACTCCATGCCTGGGGCACCAGACGCTGCCAGGCCTCCTGGCTCACCAGTGCTGAGAGGAGGGACTGGGCCTAGTCACAAAAGAGGGCTTGATGGGCTGTGGGCAGGCGGCGGGGGACAGAGCTGGGGCAGCAGTGGGCTGGCACAGGCGTCCCCGCCCGAGCCGCACAGCTTCCTCTCCATCATCCCAGCCTCCCCCTTCTGCCTTCCGGTCTCTCTCCCTCCCCCTGGCATCTCCCACCTCCCTCACATCCTTGCACCCCTCGGCCCACAGAGCAGGTGTCCACCAGACACAGGCCCTTTCTCCCAGTAGCCCTGAGCCCTCCTCCGGCTCTTCTGCCCAGGGAGTCCCCCTCTGGCCGGGTACCAAGGTACCCTGCCTCCACTGTCTTAAGATGAGTCCTGGCCTACCTGCCAGCCCCCAGCCCCCAGCCCCGCCTCCTTAGGATGTGCCTCTCCTGCATCCCAGAGTCCTAGGACCCTGCAAGGCAGCCGTTGCGGGTGCCGACTGCACGCAGCTGGCTGAGTGGTCTGATCTCATTTGGGCCCCGCTGCCTCTAGAACCTGCAGCTTAACATCTTCTTTGTCCCGTATCATCTGGGCATCCTCAGGATCCTGGATCCAGCAGATGGGGACCTGGGGGCAGGGCCCACACTTTCTGTCTGCCCCCCGTCCTCACCAGGCGGAGGGCCCTGGCTTTTCTAGGGCCGGCAGGTGCTGAGCCTCCTGGAGCCCAGCTGTTCCCAGGCTCCTGCCCCGTGCTCCGTCTCCTGGGCACCTGTGGTGCACCTGCCTCTCACCTGCCGCCACTGCTCTGCCCTGGGTTGAGCCAGGGTCTGACACCAAGTTCATCATTTTAAATGACACTGTCCCAAGGGAGAAAACCAGCCTTGAGAAAGCCACATTTGGCTAGCTGGTCAGGTGGATTGTGGCTCTTGCTCAGATGCGTCACTGTCAAAACACGCCGCGCCACCCACCCGGTCTTGTTTAATTAGCAAGAAGCAGCTGCTGCTGAGAGTCCGCCAGGCACAGGCTCCAGCGAGGAGGAGTGGAGTGAGCGGGCACGCCTGCGCCTGCTCAGTGCCGTCCCCAGGGCTGCAACCTGTGCCCTGCGCGGTGGAGGTTTCTGTCCCTTGGGTTCGCTTTCTGCAGCACCTACATGAGGACCTGGCGCAGGACTGCACCCCAGCCGCTGTGCCGTGAACAGGGGATGACCAGTCTTAGCCTGGGGGGCTGCGCCTGCCGCAGATGGGCTGGGCCCCCTGGCTGCTGGGGATCCGCCAGGTAGGTTTCTTTTCCAAGCATGAAGAGGGTCCCTCCTGTCCCTTTCCTGAGGGTGAATCTGAGTGATTCCCATGGTGTCCGGATGGCTGTTCTCTGTTCCCTGCCATCACCTGGGGAGGACACAGGACCCACTACTGCAGATCACCCCTCTTCCATGGAGGGGGGGACCAAGGCTTGGGGATGCTAAGTCCCTTGCCCAAGGTGATGACGTGGGCCCTGGGCTCCTGCCTCCCTCTCTGCCTCAGGGGCCTGTGAGCACGGTGGCCCTGACTCGCCAGGGAGTCTTGGGAGTCCCACAAACCAAAGCAGAGGAGACCTTCTCCCGGAGGACACTGATGTCCTGTTCCATCAAGGGCATTTTATTCTATGTCATGGGGTGAAATTCATATGACATAGAATAAGCTGTTGAAAAGTGTGCACTTCAGTGACATTGGCACGTCCACAGCGTTGTGCCGCACCAGACCTGAAGAACGGTCTGAAATAGTCCCATCAGCGCCAAAGGGCCAGCAGCAGTGGCCTCCCGCCCCGGCTCCTCCCTCAGCCCTGGCAGCCAGTCCTCTGCTTTCGGTGCCTGTGACATGGGCTGCTCTGGAGCATTTCACATACACAGGGCCACACACAATGTGGCTTTCGTGTCTGGCCGCCTGCACTTAGTGGAGCATTCTCAGGTTCCAGTCCTGTCGCAGCGGGGGTCGGGCTGCCCACGCCACGTGTGTCCTCTTCACAGCTGAATAGTACTCCTTGGTTGGAGAGACCACATTTATTCATCCAGGCTGATGGACACTTCAAAAAGCTTCTGTGAGAAGGTGTCACGTACTTGGGGCATCACTGTACCATCTGTACAGTGGCTCCACCTCAGCCCAGCGAAATGGACTGAGGGGAGTCCATCTCACAGTCATCTCCTGGGAGAGTCCATCTCACAGTCACGAGATGTTTGGAGGAGGCACACAGGTCAGAAGAGGGTAAAGACCAGCAACTCAACAAGACTGGGCCACTCTCTGCCCAGTCCGACCCCAGGGCCACCCGAAGCTGGGATGAGGACCCCCTCCTGGGCTGTGCTCCCTCTGTGGACAGGAAGTCGGGCCCTCGCTGCTGTCCTGGCCACAACCTGCTTGTTCTCCAGCTTTGGGTTTCCCTGGCTGTCTTTCCCCCTGTATTTGCCATGTGCACAGGTCTCTGGGACCCAGTATGAGCCACCATGTGACCGTGTGCTCCTGTGTGAGGGCTCTCAGGTTCCCTTAAATGCCACCACCTGGAAAGCCAATCCCTGACTTTTGCAAAAGAGAAAGATTCCCCACGGCAAGAACTTTATTCACGAGGAGGAGATGGGAGACCCAAGCCTCAAAGCCCCCTCCCTGGGGATAGGGCCAGGGGAGTCTGCAGGACGGGCTGTGGCGAAGGTGACTGGTGTTCAGCTACGAGCAGGTGCGGTGGGTGGAGCCTGCAGGGTTTACTCAGGCACCGAGAGCAAGTGACTTTTCCAGGTTCCTTTGGTTTCAATCGCATGAGGTTTCTGGCTTGGGCTCAGTTTTCAGTAATTAGAGCTGTTAAGACTGTGACACTAATAACTATTATTATTAATATCATAATTGCTGATTGTAAAAAGCAGTACAAAAATGTGACTGGTTTGCTCTTGTCTGTAAGTGAATCTCCAGTTTCCCTGTTGGAGCTGAGCTGAGGACCGAGGTCCTGCCTTGTCCAGAGCTGAGCTTCACATGTGGCCGGCCACCTGTGCCTCCCTGGCGACCAACCCAGGGTTCCCAGCCTCCCTGGCCAGGATGGAGCCCACGGATTCAGCCCAGATGCAGTCCTTCCCCAGTGCTGCCCACCCCACATCCTGACCCCACATGGCTTTGAGGACAGGGCCAGCTACTCCGGTGTCACGGCCGGAGCCACTGGCCACCTTGCATGCAAGGTCTGGCTGGTGCACAAGCTTCAGCAGAGTTTCTGATCAGAGTTCTGTTGACTTGAATAAGCTTCCGACTCACCTGCCGTCTCGTCAGACGTGGAGTCCGGCTGGCAGGCCTGGCGTGTGGCTGAGATTCTTGTTTTTGGTTTTGAACAAGCTCCCGAGGAGCCCAAGGTCACAGGCCCTCTGCCCACCCTGGGGGTCACGAGGTCCCATGCACATTATCCCCTGGCCTGGGTTATGTATGCTAGCTCAGCCTCCATGGAACGTCCAGAAAGTCCCCAGCAGGACTTCCCCCTCTGCCTCCGTGGCCTCAAAGCAGGTTTTTTTGGTCACATTAGGGAGGGCAAGAGGCAGCTGTGCCCAGCCTGGCTGACAGGGATGAGCTGTGGCCTTGCATCCTGATGGCCAGTGACCCAGGGCTGTCAAACACATTCTTCTGAGCCTGTGGGTGCCACTCTTGTCCCAGGTCACAGTCCAGGCTGCTGGGGGACTCAGCCCATCCATGTGACTGAGGTGCTCCGGGGCACTCAGAGGAGGGGCGGGAACCTGGGCCTCTCTTCCCCTCTGCAGCCTCTGCTTTCTGTCACATGTAAACTGTTAGTACTGGTAGTGTGACTCTGGGTGTCAAGTTACTGCCACATGGGCTGCACCATGCTGCAGGGGACAGGAAGGGGACTCACTCCCCCCTGGGGCCGCCAGGAGCTCCTGGAGGGGACGGGAGGACAGTCCCCTTCTGAGTGCGCCCAGACATCTGGAATATTCTAAAAACAGAGGAGAACACGCACCCTGGTCCTGAGGGAGTATGGGAGAGGGGGAGCTGCTTCCTGCTGGCGGGGCAGAGCTGAGGCCACTCCCTGTCACCCACGCTTGGGCGGTCAGCAGTCTCTGGGCTTGGGACTCAGTGTTTTCCTGCTAATTTATGGGGCAACACTTTCCTCTAGGAAATGGGGCAGAGAGCCAGAGATCCTCTCTTTTATTGTTCCTTTCCCTTCAAGGGGGATGGAGCTTTCTCAGGAAGGAGTCAAATGCTCGTTTCCCGTTTATTCTGCAAGTGTCAGATGCAGCTTGGGGACAACTGAGAGGTGATGGAGTCCAGGGGGACGTCCCCAAGGATGACGGGCGAAGCCGTGAGTGGGTGGCTTTAAAGATTGCCCTGTTTCAAACTCAGGCAGAGGGCCCAGGGCTCAGGTGGGCAAGGCCAGGGGCTGTCTGGGCAGTCAGGGGTGTGGGGACCACGAAGACCACCGCCTGAGGTGCTGACCCGGCCCAGGGCAAGCTGAGCAGCCCCATGGTGTCTCGTGGTTGGTGAGAAATGCAGAGACACCAAGTGGGGGTGGGGAGGCTCCGTGGGCGTGGCCACCCCCAGGACCTGAGCCAAGAACCCCCACCAAGCCAGGGCTCTGCGTGCCTGTGGCCTGCTGCTTCCCGAAGAGCCGCAGGGTCGGTGCCACGGTGCCAGGTACAGATGCAAAGACTGAGGCTCCTGCGCAGATGCGGTCCCAGAAAGCCACAGCATGGCCCCAGAGAGGGGCCACACTAGGCATCCGCTCCCCTGCACCTCCAGGCCGCTCTGAGCCAACGGGCCTCCGTGCTGGGGCCCATTTTCAGGAAGGGCCATTTTCGGGGTGTTAAAACAGAGATATAGCCCCTAAAAAGGCTCCATAAAGAAAAACACAGCAGGTGACCTTCCGGAAGCATCCTGTGGACTCCGAGGGCCAGGGATCCAGCTGCTGTGGACAGCAGACGGTGATGACAGAGGACGGTGAGCCCAGCTCCTGATTTCAAGCAGAATCAGGGCCGGCTGGCAGGTTTCCATTCACCAGTGTTTCCATAAGGTAAGACCTTGGCCTTGAAAGGATTTTATTACCTGGGGACATCAAGAGACATCCGTCTTCATCTGCTACCTTGCCTACATATAGAATGGATGGCCGATGTTTATTGAGTGTTTACTGTGTGCTGCATCTTGTCGAGCATGCTTTGCATGTATTATCTCAGGACAAGCCCACGAGGCAGGTCCTGTCCTTAGCTTACTGTATAGATGGGGATAATGAGGACCAGAAAGGTTCTGTAACTTTTTCTTGATCACACAGCAAGGGAGTTTGGAGTTAGGACATGATCTCAGGTGGGCTTTATTTTTTTTATTTTTTTTGAATTTTTTAATCACAGAAAGTTATAAGTATATATAAAAGTAGAGAATTATATAATTAATCCCATATACATCCATCACCTACTTTGAACAATTATGGGCAATCTGACATTCTTGTTTTATTTTTTCCCTTAAGTTTAGTTACTGTTTTCTGGAGTATTTTAATCCTGGGTGTCACACCATTTTACCTGTGAATGCTTCAGTAAGCACATGTAACAAAGAAGGCCTTCTCCTTTTTTTAATGTGATCCTAGTGCTGTTATCACACCCATCCTTTAGCACCTGTTCTGGGCCCAGTTTTCCTTGATCTCCTTGAAAATGCCCCTTTTTGGTTGGTTTGTCTGAATCAGGGACAATCGCCCAACACCACACTCACCTGATGTTTTTCATCCTTCCATAATAATTTCCTGCTTTTTACCCCTGGGTGGAATTATTTGTAAAATTCCCCATTCTCTGGACTTTCTCTTTATGTCTTGGTGTGTCATTTGACATGTTCCTCCACTCCTCGTATTTCCTTGGAAGTGGAGGTGGAACTAGAGAGGGACCAACTCGGGGAGGCGGCTTCGGTGCCCCTGCCTGCCTGCAGCCCCGCCTGTCATTGTTCCAAGGACACGTGGCCTGTCTGGAGGGACAGGTGGGGCCAGCCTGGGGTCCATCAAATCTCCACTTCTGTCCTTCACCTGCTTTACTTAGCCTTCGATGACTGTGGCCAGGGTCCACTGTCTCTGGGGATAGCCACAGGTGGGCCTCCCTCCTGGGGTCCTCTCTGCATTCATTAGCCGACACTCTTCCCCAACATCTGCTGCTTCCACCCCAGGCAGCTGGGCTCTGGACTTTGCCCTTCCACTGCACCCACAGCACCCACCCAAGGATCCCGTCACAGGAGATCCCATCACAGGAGATCCTGGGGCAGGGCAGAGTCTGCATTCTTGACAAGCAGACTAGACCTCCGGGCCTGGTGCCCTCCTTTGCAACCTCCCTGGGGGAAATAGCCTATTCTACTGCTCACCTGTAGTTGGGCACCTCCCCGTGCAGTGGCAGAGACCGTGGTTTGAACCTTGCCTCTCTTTTCAGATTTCTTCCCTGCTGAAACCTAGGTATCAGGCTGTTATTCAGACTATAAAATGTTAGTATCGCTTAGAATTTTTTGAGAAAAGCTGACTCATCATATAACATCCTACTGAAGGTGCAATTTCTGGTATTTTCTGTGTCAAAATCGGATGGCCTGGTGGCGAGCCAGGCAGGGCCTGTGTCTGCTGCTGCTGTTGACGACAGCTGTATTCTGCCTCCAGACCCTCTTCTTTTGGGGCGGGAGCTCGGCACGGGCTCTGGAGCTGCCTCCCCAGGTGCTCTCCCTAGTCTACGGGTGGGTCCTTCAGACCTCCTGCTCTGGTAGCTCAGTCCTGCAGTTCAGCAACTGGCCTTCAGGCCTGGAGAGCGTGCAGGAGGGACAGTCCAGAGCTGTCTGGAGCTGCCCTGGCACCTGCTCCTCGGCCTGCTCCTTGGTCTTTCCTTAACTGAGTAAAGCTTCCTGGATGTTCTGCTTAAGTGGCCCAGAGTGGCTCAGAAGCCCAACTGCAAGGGAGCCTGTTGCAGAGTCTCAGAGTGGTGAGGCCCACAGACCAGCCCTGGAGCAGCAGAGAGCTCGGGAGGTCAGCAGGGACGGGCTTTGTCACCTGATGTCGGTGTCATGATCACCCCAAGAGCAAGGGTAAACACGATGACTGGCAAGCAGTTCCTCCTGGGGACTTCTGGGGACCACACTTTCATTCCTAGTTAGAGGGCCGCATGGCTTTGCAGACTAACCTTGTCCTTATGAGACAGAGATGGCAAGAAGCTACCAGCATCAAGGACCAGGTCCCATGAGGTGTGCCTGTCGCCCTACCTCCTGCCACACATGGACACCTGGGCTGTGACCACACCAAGGGACAGCAGCTGTGAGCTCAGGAAGGCCTGCGTCAGCAGGAGGGCCTGCTTGTTATGTTCTGCTCCTGAGAGGTGAGATTTTTGACTGGAGAAGGTGGCAGGACGTACATGCTCCTCAATTCCTAATGAAATAAATCAGGAAACAAACACACCAAAACAGTAATAAACCCAAGTAGAAATCAAACAAGTCATTGCCTTTGTGTCTAGGAAAGTCATGACCTTGGGGAAAAACCCCAAATTCCTGAGTACAAGCCTATCTCTCCCAGGAAGGAAAGAGGGCCCATGAAATCCAGAGCCTCCCACCAATCCTCTTCATTCCAGGGAGAAATGGGTGCTCTAGAGAGAAGGCAGCCCCCTAAGTCCAGGGGAAAGACCCCTGGGTTCCAGAGGGCCCCAAGAAAAACCTTGGTGTAGGGCGGAGGGGTGGCCAAGGCTTGGTGTGATCCAGGGAGCTGAGACCCGCAGGTGGGAGACAGCTCTGGCTGGAGGAGGGGACCTGGTGATAGGACAGTTTGTGGCATCTGGAAAGAGAAAGCAGAACCCAAACTTTCAAGAGAAGGCTGCTGGCCAGGTCTCCCCTCCCCCATTTCCGTGTCCCCAGACTATGGAAGTCAGTAAATCCACACCACCCTGTAGCCTGGAGGCATCCGGCCCCAGGTAACATGAGAAGGGAGTGGAGGAAAATCCCCCTACGGCTTCAGAGGAAATAGATGTGCACAGGGCCATACCCATTGCACTGAACAGGGCCGTAAGACACTGCGGGACAGTCGTGAAAGTTATAGAGAAGACAATAAATGGAAGACAGGAACATGGCTGGCAAAAAAAAAAAAATAGATGTGCAGCCTGTCCTGGTTGAACTACCCATGAACGTTCTGGATACAAATTCAGGAAAATGAGACCTGAAGGGAGAGATGAGGTGAAATAATACAATGAAATTTTAGAGCAAAGAAAACACATTAGGAAACTTTAAAAACCATGTCGATGATTTCTTTCAGAAATTATAAGTAAGGTGCCAAGAGCTGTGGCTCACACCTATCATCCCAGGGACTCAGGAGGCTGAGGCAGGAGGATTGCAAGTTCAAGGCCAGCCTGGCAATTTAGAGAGACCCTGTCTCAAAATAAAAAGTAAAAAAAGGGCTGAGGATGTGGCTTAGTGGTTAAATGTCCCTGGGTTCAATCCCCAGTACCCCAAACCAAACAAAAACACAAACAAACCCCGCACCCCAGAAATTACAAGTAAGAGATTATAAAGATGCCACTGAAAAACCTAATTATCGACATGGGAGAATTGCTGAGATCAACACCCAAGAAAAGGCAAGGATTGCAGTGTGGGGCTGGGGTCAGGGCTCAGTGGCAGAGCACTTGCCTAGCATGCGTGAGGCACTGGGTTCGATCCCCGGCACCACATAAAAATAAATAAATCAGTAAAGGTATTGTGTCCATCTATGACTAAAGAATATTAAAAAAAAAAAAAAGATTAGAGTGAGTTCGAGGAAGCGACAGCTACGGAGGTCAGAGGTGATCCAATATAAGGATAGCTAATGTCTCTCAATCAGGGCCCAAGAAGTGAACTGAGAAAGGCTGCATTCTGAGAGACTGTCAGAAATAAATGGCAAATCTTTAGATCAAAAGGGCACTGGGGGGGAAAATGGTTTGTAGTGATTGCCATTAAGCTGCATCCTGTCAAGATATTGAACTTGGAGGGTAAACAAAGACTTCTTCAGACATTCAGGCAGGTAGAGCCTGCAAGAGGGGAAATGTCAGGTGTCTGAGGCTCGCTGGGGAGGACAATGGAGCAATGTCCAGAGGCTCTGGAGGAAAGAAAGCTGAAGCCAGGAACATTAACCAGGGCAAGTGGTTGTTGGGCCCTGAGCAGCAGTCGGCAGTGGACAGGGACGACTCGGGGACAGCGCAGGCAACCCCGCGGACGCATCCCAGGAAGAACCGCAAGACAGATTCACTTAGCAAGAGCTGGGCACGGGGCCAAAGGAGAGAGGCAAGAGGAGGACAAGCTAAGGGTTAACAAATCATAATTCAAACAAGAATTTCACAAAAACCTGAGGAACTTCAATCATGTCCTTATCCCAGAGTTGTTTTGTCTTTTCACCTTAAAGAATCTATTAGAACTGGTATTTCTTCTGGAAATAAAACATTTATTTGAAGTTTAGAAAGTCTGCTTTCTTTTTAACCTTTCATGAAATCTGATTTTAAATTGATCGAATTAAATGTGGGAGGGGGCTGGGGTTGTGGCTCAGAGGGAGAGCACTCGCCTCGCCTGCGTGAGGCACTGGGTTCGGTCCTCAGCCCCACATAAAAAAAATAAATAAATAAAGGCATTGTGTTGTGTCCATCTACACCTAAAAAATAAATATTAAAAAAATAAACAAAATAAAGATATTGCATCCACCTGTACCTAAAAAATAAATATTTAAAAATAAATAAATGTGGCATTATGATATGGTACCATTCAGTTCATTCATCCAATATTCATGTACTTAGGGCTATCTGTGTGTAAGATGGTGTTCTGGACACTGAAGAAACTAAAGAGAGGAAAAAACAGCAGAAACATTATAATAGAAAATTATTTTAGCTGAGTACTATGGCCTGTAATCCTGCTGAGGCAGGAGGATCACAATTTCTAGGCCAGCCTCAGCAACTCAGTGAAGACCTCTCTCAAAAAAACAAAAACCTGGGGATGTGACTCAGTGACAAAGTGTCCCTGTATTCAATTCCTGGTACAAAATAATAATAATAATAATTATTA